GAAATATTTCAAAGCAGAGCCATACAATATTAACCTGTCAAATTTAAAGAGTTTTAATGCCAGGATGAGTTACTTGTAGAAAATGCTGACAGATGGCTTAACTGTCTTTTTTTTTTTTTAATTTAATAAGTGTTATAAAAACAAACAGGACCTGTATTACAGATGCTAAACATTTGGTAATAACCATGTTTTGTATAGTTACAATATGTATTACTTAAGAAAACATCACTATAAATGTGACTGTGGACATTTGACTCATGCTAAATGTACCTCATTTATTTATTTAGACATTTGCTGTGCAGTTTAGTTTCTGTAATTATATCTTCTAACCTCCACTCCCACTCCCCCCCTTTTTTTTTCGAGACAGAGTCTCACTATGTCACCCTAGGTAGAGTGCTGTGGCCTCACAGCTCATAGGAACCTCCTACTCTTGGCTTAAGCTATTCTCTTGCCTCAGCCTTCCAAGTAGCTGGGACTATAGGTGCCCACCACAACACCTCACTATTTTTTGTTGCAGTTGTTGTTTAGTTGGCCTGGGCCAGGTTGGAATCCACCACTCTCGGTGCATGTGGCTGGCGCTGTAACCACTGTGCTATGGGCGCTGAGCCTTCTGACCCCCCTTTTAAAACATGATATACTTCTGGAAATGTTATGTTGAGGAAATTTTACTCTTTGTTTTCTATTTCTCTTAGTTGGATAACTCCACACTTCTGAGTATCTGGGTTGTATTTGATTCTAAGGAGTTTGGACCATAAGTAAGAAAGGGTACTTTGCATGGCATTGTAGTAGTAGGTGGTAGTCTCTATTTGTAAGGGAATGCTTACTTGTTTTTTATACTAGAGATCCTTATGCTACTTACATTAGAAACAGCTGGAGTGCTTGTTGAAAATCTAATGTCTGATTCCATTCCAGACTTATTGAATCAAAATCAATCAAAATGAACTTTGATTGCACTTTTCAGAGTTTAAAAAATATTAGCAGTTAGACCTCACCCCCAGAGAATCTGTTTTAATTGGTCTAGTGTTATATCTAGAGTTCTTAATCTGTTTTAGAATCATATGGAAAGTCTCAAAGTGAGAGTTTGTGATTCAGTTGGTTAGGGGTCGGGCCTGAGATTTTGCATTTCTAACAAGTTTCCCAGGTGATAAAGATGCTTTTAGGTTAGGGACCATACTTTGTTAACTGTACACTGACTAGGATTAGGAACCACCTTCTTAATTTGGAGGCTATGTAATGTTAAATGAGGAACTAAGTTCTTAAGCAATATATGAAATGTAGTAGATTTCAAAGTAAAAAAATGTTAAATGTGGAAAATCCATTTATAAAGTAGAGAGGATGTTACTTGTTTTTTTAAGTCTAAAATAAGTATTCAAATTTATTTTACAATTAAAAATCTTAAACATGATAAATTAAAATTTGCCAAAAACAGTGTTGTCAGAGATGTTTAAACACAGCATATGTTCCCTCCCCAGCTTTATTTGGGTAAAGTAAGTAAAACTTAACTTTTTTTTAAGAGTTCAGTTTTATGTGTTTTGACAAGTGTATCAGTTGTGCAGTCATCAACAGAATCAAGGTATAGAACAGTTCTAACAATTCCCTCATGCCCCAGGCCCCAGTTCCAGTTTCTGATAATCACTGATCTTTTTTCTTACCCTATAGTCCTTCCTTTCCTAGAATGTCCTATAAATCGAAACATTTAATATGTATCCTTTCGAGTCTCCCTTCGTTCACTAGGTGTAATGCATTTGAAGTCAGTCCATGCTGTTGTGTTTGTTAACTTTATTCCTGTTTTAAAAAGGGAAGTTTTAGGATTATAGCAGAATTGAGAAAGTACAGAGTGTTTCCAGGCCCCTCCCCTCCACCTACATACACAGCCTCCCCCACGACCACCAGAGTGATACATTTATTATGGCAGATGAACCTACATTGACATGCCATTATTATCCGTAGTTCATAGTTTACATTAAGATTTATTCTTCATGGTACACAGTCAGTGGGTTTGACAAATATAACATGTATCCATCTTTATGAGACTGTTCAGAATAGTTTTGCTGTCCTAAAATTCTTCTGTTGCCCTTGTAAAAAAATTGATTATATAGACAGGAGTTATTATACCCAACTAAATTGTAGTTGAGGGACTAGAAGGGGGGAATAGGTACTAAGGGTACAAAACTGCAGGGATTATCTTGAAAGCCCACCTGCCAAAATGACCTGCTGTAACCTATGTAGCAGCTGCTATAATGACCTTCTTTGACATTAAGACTGTTTCACCTATTGCTGTTAATCACCAGCTGGAGCTTGCTGGCTCCTTTAAAATGTTGCGAGGGCCATTGAGCTTTTTATCAAAACAATTTACACGTTTCTCTTTCCTAATAAAATTCTGATCTTTTCTTTGCCAGTCTGTGTGTATGCCCTGAATTGCAATCGTGTTTTTATATATTCTTTTTTTGATATAGAGCCTCAAGCCGTCACCCTGGGTAGGGTGCTGTGGCATCACAGCTCACAGCAACCTCCAACTCCTGACTCATGCTATTCTCCTGCCTCTGTCTCCCAAGTAGCTGGGACTACAGGCACCCGCCACAACTCCTGGCCATTTTTTGGTTGCAGCTGTCATTGTTGTTTGGCAGGTCTGGGCTGGATTCGAACCTGCCAGCTTAGGTGTATGTGGCTTGTGCCTTCACCGCTTGAGCCACAGGTGCTGAGCCTATATATTCTTAAATAAAATATTTTAACTTACAAATTCGTTTCTATACATTATTTGGTTTTGATATACCTCGTATCACAAATGGGATCCAAGGTGATTTCACCTGGACAGATTTGATGGCCCTTGGGACTACTTCCTTGAGCCCCCCTTTCTGTGTTTTGCTTTTATTTATGTATTTATTTATTTATTTTTGGCCTGTGAATCTTTCTCTAAGATTAGACTCATTTCTTGTGGTCTGTATTCTCCAGTTTTATTTGGGATTTGATTTCTGAGGGGTTTTACCCTTCTTGTTTATTGAGAGACTTCCTGTCCTGTTAAAGAGGGTTTGATGTCCCTAGCTACTTGGAAGAATGAGGCAAGAGAATTGCCTAAGCACCGGAGCTGGAGGTTGCTGTGAGCTGTGACACTATGGCGCTCTACCAAGGGCGATAAAGTGAGACTCTGCTTCTAAAAATAAAAAAGAGAGGGTTTGATATTCTTTCTGGTGAGTATGTACTCTTTGTTTTTATTTCAGTTTTTGTATACTTAGCATTAAACCAAGTCACCTAGATAAATTTACTTACAAAATGGGCTCTCAAAGTTCAAAGGCATGCCAAGGTAAGCCCCCATTGAGAATTCCAGCTGGGATATTATGGACCAGTTTTACTAAAGATGGCTTGGATTTATAATTGCCTTAGTAGGGTTCTTTTGACCTTCCTAAGTTGTTTTTCTCTTTTGGCCTTAGCTGCAAAACAAAGCAATCTAAACAGGACATAGACCTTAATTGGTATCTGCAGCATCCAAACACATTCAAGAATCAAAATTTGCCTTGCTCAAAAATATTGTCTCTAAGTTACCAGACACAAATCAAGAAAGTAGATAAAGGCTTTAGAAGCACAATCTTTTTCTGTTTCTCAGGCACTACTTACTATCTTTTCTCTCTACTCTTCACACTTCCCTCCTTTTGTAATATTTCTTTACTTTCAAAAACTTTCCTTTTGTGATAGTTCCCCTCTTACTCTTCTTTCAACCTCAGCCTATAAAAACTTGCCACTTTAAGATTAGGCCCTCTAATGATTCTTGGATCCAGCTAAGGAATTTTGTAAGGTTACTGAGTTTAATATCTGATATATTCTCTATTCAAGGACAATATATTAAATGGATTTTTAAAAATACTACATTTTAAGCTTACTAGGTTTGCTTCTCCAGTTTTGCTGATGAATTTAATAATTACATTTTAAGCTTACCAGCTTTGCTTCTCCAGTATTTACCAGCTTGTTCACATGCTTGGGAGAGAAGGCCAGGCCCAACAATGGATGGCAAAAGCTAGTTGGACCTATCCTTAACAGGATTTACAGAGGCTTGGCTCCTCTCCCCAGAATCTGGACTGTGTTGTGAGATTTGTCTTTATAACTAGTAAAAGAACACGTAAGTAGGGCCCCCTTGAAGCATTTTGTAAAGCTGTAGATTGGACTAAAATTCAGGCTTCTGCCCAAGAACCAAATGAACCAATTCATAACCATTATAACAGATTCTAGATTGTAATCAGAGAAATCTCTGTCTTTCTCATGGGTCTTGACTTTACTAGCGTCCCCCTTAATTATATGTTAATGGTATCTTCTAAGAACTTTCTCAGTTGAAAGAGCTTGTCTGGAATGGGAGACTATACCAGCTCCTGACCTTGTTAATTTGATAAAACACTTGGCTCACACCTAAAAAATACCAGTAGAAGGAAGGCTACTAAAATCCCAAACCTCCAATTATGGCAGATAAATCCTCCCAGAGAAAACATTTGAGGCTGAGTGACACAAATCTGATCCACAAAAGCCACCTTCTCATGTCTGTGTTTACAATAATCAGCCTGGCCCCTGGGAGAAAAGCTATTACAAATGTTAGCAAACTAAACAGTCGTCTTCACTTCACATTTTGGCTTCTCCTTTCTCATGAAGGGCCTCTAGGATATCTAGGAACTTTTTCTAGTCCTATCTCTTAATCACTTCAGGAAAACCACTCTTCAAATTGGCAATGAAATTCTGTCTATTCATTGTCAGTCATGACTGCGCTATTAGTGCTCACCCCACCAATCTTAACCAGCCTCTGCCTTGAATAAGAAGGAGATTCAAGTGGTGGGAGTTGTAATAAACCATTGACAGATTTTCTATCCTGGTTCATTATTTTTCACCTTGGGCTTTTACAGGATACCCGGTCATCTTATTGGTAGAATCTGCTTTAGCTCATTTATTGGGACAAGAGTTTTTAAAAAATACCATGGTTATTTCTGAAAGAGAGAAATAACTTTTTTAAACCCTGGGTAGGTATGGGGTGCATTGTTCCTAGAGGTATTGTAATACCAGATCAGTGCATAAAGTGGCTGGAGCAAGCTCCTTTTCCATCTCTCTACTCCAAAAATCCATTTACTATATTGTCCTTGAATAGAGAACATAACAGATATTAAACTGGTAAGATCAGATAACTACACATGATCTTAGCCAAAAGGCCAAGAACTGGTAATTTTAGAGTTTGATAAACCCACTGATCTGCTGGATTCTATCAGTGTTGCTCTGCTCGTTTTTTATTCTGTCCTATACACTAAAGACATCTCTGCTGGCCCCCCAAATGCCCTACTGAAACAGATACCTATATTTATGGGCCATATCATCAATAGGTCATTGGTAGAAGTCACCCTCAATCAAAATTCAGATTTATCCTACCAAGCTCTTAAATAATATTAAACAATATTCCTTGAGCCATTCCACCTTATAAGATATGAGACCCATAATTAAAGAATATAAAACTCAAGGCTTAATAATTTCTTAAACTCTAGCCCCTGGAATGCTCTCATTATCTTGATAGAAAAACCCAGTCACAGGACCTTCCTTCACCACTTTTGTTTCCCATCCTGTTAGAGGTCTTCTAAATTTAGATTGCTTACACCTCAGGTTTAGATATATGTCTCCGTCAGTATTCTTCCCTTTTATGAACTTCTTTTGGTAACTCTTTCTCATGTAGTTCTTTCTTGGTGTAACAGTCCTAATCCTGCTACTATTACTGTGTTTTCCCAAAAATAAGACTCTTAGATTTACTTTTTCTCAAGAAGACACACTTGGCTCAGAGCCTGTGACTCAAGCAGCTAAGGCGCCAGCCACGTAAACCTGAGCTGGTGGGTTCAAATCTAGCCCGGGCTCACCAAACAACAATGACGGCTGCAGCAGAAAGATAGCTGGGCGTTTTGGCAGGCACCTGCAGTCCCAGCTACTTAGGAGGCGGAAACAGGAGAATCGCTTGAGCCCAGGAGTTGGAGGTTGCTGTGAGCCATGATGCCACAGTGGCACTCTACCCAGGGTGACAGCTTGAGCTCTGTCTCCAAAAAAAACCAAAGAAGACACACTAGGGCTTATTTTCAGGGAATGTCTTCCTCTCTATGCTGAAATGCCTGGAGTGGCTATGCAGACCCATCACTACGTCTTGTTACTAGGGTAGGGCTTATATTTAACAAATGCATAGAAATCCTGCTAGGGCTTAGTTTTGGGGTAGGTCTTATTTTCGGTGAAACATGGTAACCCTTCTTTGATGAGGACTCTCCCCAAAAAGGTTTTATAAGAGACATCATTAGATGATGCTAAACTGTTATGATTTACAGATGGGTCATAGTTAAAGGCTTACACTGGTAAATACTGTGCAGAAGATGCAGTTGCTACTTTCGTAGTTATTGAAGCAACCTTCTTACCTGGGTTCCTTCTGTTCAGCATGATATAAACTTTCTGCCCTTACTTGGACTTGCCTCCTTGCTAAATTAGGAAAATCTGCTAATACACGTACATGTAGTAGGTATGCTTTTGGGGTTACTCATTATTTTAAAATGTTATAGAAGCAGGATTTCCTCACTTCCACTGGAAGAATGGATCCCTGAATGAGACTTATTAAATGTCATCCAGCTACCAGCTATTTTGGCTGATATCAGAATTCCTGGGCATTCAAGGTTAGACTCTATGAAGGATAGAGGAAATCATCTTGTTGATAATTTTGTAAGAAATACAGCTACTAAAGCTTTAGTCAGTCAAATCTCCGTCATGGTCCTACTAAAAGAACTTTCAAAAGATGATTTGAGAACAGTTGTCAAAGATGCACAAAATTCAGATCCAGAAGGTAAAAAATAAAATTGGAAAAATCCTGGCTGCTGATTTGATATAAGACAACTATGATTTGGACCTGTTATAAATGAGTTCTCCCAAATAAATATATGCTGTTTAATAAAATATATGCTGTTTGCTATGGTATATGATTTGACAGCTGTCAATTAATTTAAACTATTGGTGGGACAACGTAACAAAAGATAAACTGCTAAAATTGCTTATTTGGCTTATGTCACTTGTCTTAAATTTAATCCCGTAAAAGGTGTATACATTGTTTCTATACATTTTATTTTAATTAATCTAACAGGCTGTTTAGGTTTGGCAAATTTTATGTAACTACTACTTTCCCATAAATATTCTCCCGTAAATATTACCCATTACTTCAAAGTTATCCCTTATAGACAAGGCACCGCTTCTGCTTTACCCAAAATTCTTCTAGAGAAAATTATTCCCATTTTAGGAACTGCCCTTGAATTTCATGGTGACTAGGGAATTGACCTTACTGGCCATGTAATAAAACAGGTATGGTCATTTTGGTCCATTTTACATTTCTGTCATACTCATTATCTCCCATTTTATGCCCTGTAGAACAAACAAATGGAACTGTAAAAAAGCCAGGTGACAAAATTTATAGAAATCATACACCTTTCTTGGTGTAGGGTTTTTCCTTTGGTATAATTAAATTTGAAAGGCATTCCCTTTGGGGCCCACAAACTCTATAATGTTTTAAAATAATTATAATTTGTCATACACATTTGGGTCCTTCCAAATTTGACCCTCACTTTTAATAAAAGTAGACATACTCTCTGTTTTAAGGACATTATGAAAATAATGGATAAGAAAATATGCTTTGGTAGAATAGTCTTTCCACAGTATACTCATGGGAGATAAAGACCTAAAGCACCATAGTCTGCAACCTGTTGGCTTTGTCCCCTAAAGAAGAACCTAAAGAACTCTTGCCAAATTCTTTGAAAGGGTCTATATTGAGTCTTTCTCATCAATTTCTATGCTGCCAAGTTCAAAGGCATTGTCTCCTAGATCTACATCTCATCCAAAAATGGCTCTTATTCCTTATTGGACCAGTACCTCAACAGATGATTTAAAACTAAAGTTAACCTGTAATTGAAACAGGTGACATCCATAGTACACTGCTATCTAAGATGCTTTGGACTAGGCCAGTATGGCCTTTCTCTTTTATATTTTATTTTGTTTATTTTGGAGGCAGGATCTCACTCTTTTGCCCAGGGTAGAGTACAGTGGCATCATTATAGCTCACTGCAGCTTCAAATTCCTGGGCTCAAGCAGTCCTCCTGTCCATAGTAGTTGGGGCTACAGGCACATGCCACCATGCCTAGTTAATTTTTTCTGTTTTTTGTAGAGACAGAGTCTTGCTCTTGCTCAGGCTGGTCTTGGACTCCTGATCTCAATCAATCCTTTTGCCTCAGCCTCCCAGAGTGCTAGGATTATAGGCATGAGCCACTATGCCAGTCCCTAGTCTCTTCTTAATTTGTCCTTATTTTCCTGGAAAAGCGGTGCTGTAATTTACATTTCCCAGTCTGTTGCTGCAAGGCAAAGCTTAATGAACTATTATATATGTCAGCAAAGACCCTGCTGTATACTTTTAGTCTACACCGTAACATATTTCGCTGATGTTCCCCATGTAACTCTTTAAATTGTGTATCTAGCGTTTTTTACAAGAGTTAAGTTTTTGGACTCATTTATGTAGATTCTGTGCTTCATCCTAACAGTACCTAAGGTCTACAGAAAATACTTCAAAATTAAATTCAAATGGGGTGTGGTGGTTTATGCCTGTAATCCCAGCACTTTGAGAGGCTGAGGTGGGAGGATAACTTTATACCCAGAATCTGAGACCAGTTTGGGTAACAAAACAAGACCTTATTTCTACAAAAAGAAGAAAAAATAGCTCAGTGTGGTTGGGAATATTTCTTGATTTAATTTAAATTGGCAAAATCTAAACATTCGTTGACATTAATTTACACCATCATATGAAAAGAGATACCTTAACATGAGACAAATCAAACGGGATGGGCCTCATTTGTTAGAGCCTTTTTCTCCTTCAGTCAGAGGCATCTACTTAGAAACAGTGGTCAAAATTCATTCTTAACAATTGAGTCTATAACTGATTGTACAGCTCAAGCCATTGTAGCTCAACAAACTTACCTAGGTTCTCTTGCCAAAGTGGTTTTAGATAACTGGATTGCTCTGGATTACTTCTTACACCTTAAAAAAGGTGGTACTTGTGCATTTGCTAACCTGGATAAATTCCTCTGGAGAAATATAAGATAAAAAAAAAAGGCCAAGTCACCTGGTTCTAACAGGTTTCACCAGATACATCTAGATTTTTTGATCGTTCAGGTGGTTACCTTCAAAACTGGGCTTCTGGTTAGTTTAGAGTTTTCTTTTTATTATTTTGAGACAGTCTCATTCTGTTGCTCAGGCTAGAGTCCCATGATGTCAGTATAGCTCACAGCATCCTTAAACTCCTGGATACAAACGGTCTTCCTGCTTTAGTGTCCTAAGTAGCTGGGACTACAGGTACCCAGCACAATGCTCTGCTTATTTTTTCTACTTATTAGTCGAGATGGAGTCTTGTGCTTGCTTTGACTGGTCTCAAACTCCTGAGTTCAAGGTATCCTCTGGCCTTGGCCTCCCAGAGTGCTAGGATTACACTGCACTTACTGTATAGCTATTATAAAACTAGATTTATCATTTTGTTACTGATTACTCTTTATATTATGATCTTCTTTATTTTTTTGAGAAAGAATCTCGAGCTGTTGCCCTGGGTAGAGTGTTGTGGGCCATAGCTCACAGCAACCTCCAACTCTTGGGCTCAAGCAGTTGTGTGTTTCATTTGTTTGTTTGTTTGCTTGTTTTTGCCTATTTTTAGTAGAGATGGGGTCTTGAACTTGTGAGCTCAAGCAATCCACCCTCCTTGGCCTCCCAAAGTGCTAGGATTACAGGTGTGAGCCACTGCACTGGCCTACAGTATGGTCTTGAAACTCTGCTCTTATTGCCTAATCTTTATAAAGCCAGTATGGAAACACGACTATTTATTTTCTGATGATTTTGTGTCTTGCAGCTGTGCTGCATTTGTATATTAGTTTTAAAAGTTTTCTTGTGTGAGAGCTTTTCTACATAAAAGATCGTGTTATTTGTAAGTAGAGAGTTTTCTTTCTTTCTTTCCAATTTGGATGCATTTTATTTCATTTTCCTGACTTACTGTTTTGGCTAGGATTTCTGGTACTATGTCGAATAGAAATGGCGAATGTGGGCATCCTTGCCCTATTTCAGATCTGAGCAGGAGAACTTTTAGTCTTTCACCATTGAGTATAATGTTAGCTGTGGATTTTTCATA